AAAAAAAATAATTTGAAACAAACCAAATTAATTAAGTAAATTATATAGGTAATTAGAAAAAACTCTAAAATCTGAATAAAAATTTGTTGGCAGTACAATGATCCAAAACGTGCACTACGGTCAACCTTTCTTGGAACCTTGTGGTATGAAAATTCACCTATTTGCTAATTTTGGATTAGTTTTAACGTATATACAAGAAGAGAATTAAATGTATTTGCTAAATTCCGTGAGTTTTGTTACAAATATGAAATAGCCTTAACATTCATACCAAAAAAAAAAATGAAATAGCCCGAGGCCCCGAGCAAACAAGTTGCAAAGGTGATGTAATATGAGCTTTGAATTATATGTTTTTGTTTTAGGTAAATTACTTCTTTTTTTAGAGGGTGGCTACCTAACACTCCTGGATATCGTGCTTCCTAACTCTCCTTCAACACCAATTCGTCTTCGTTAATTATTTGTACCAAACTATTTGAATTTAAGGTTAATTATTTACAATCCACATTCCACCAGTTCTATTGAAAAGTATATTCTTTATTCGCATATGAGAGCTTTTGGTAGTAAGATAGGGGTGTGAATTGTAGTAACGACTTTGAGAATTAATAAAAAAAAAAAGCAGGAAAACAATTAAACAAAATGAAACTTGAAGCCAAACTTGATTAGTGGGTTAATAAGAAAATACAGGTCGAGCCGGTCAGCTACATTTAACGTCCCTTAATGATCTTAATTAAAAATGGCTAACCACCCACGTAGAGTGATTTTTTTTATGTGAATGATACTTATTAAGTTTTTATTTAGAATCAAGTGGACTATTTGGACTTTATGAAATTAATCTAGATGGTTACTGCTACACCAATTAAAAGTGGTAAAATACGCCAAAGACACTATTATATATTGCACTTTAACAACAATATATACTTTTGCATTTATACTGTTGCTCTTAGTGAAAAGAAGTTTAAAGTAAATTATCACATTGCATTTATATATGTTTATATAAACAAATACTCAAACACACTAATCCCCAAAAATAACAAGCAACTTCTTCATACAAAACTAACGTAACAAATTATATTAANAAAAAAAAAAAAACGTAACATCCTCAAATTGTATAGATAAATAAAGGATGGAGAGAGACTGAGTCAGATCATAAACAAAAACAAAAATAGAAAACTCAGTCGGTCCCTTTACCAGTCATCGCGTGATGTCCAGTGGCTAATTAAAGACCAAGTTGCTAAGAAGCGATGAGGTCCACCATCACTAACCCGACCCGACTCAAAGCTAACCCGAGCCATTTCATCTGACTCGCGAATGAGACACGTGTTTGGCAACACGTAGAGGATAATGTAAGTCGTGATCATGCAACAACACTTTACAATTGTGACTATGATATAAATCCGAAAACAAGTTTACATTAAGCGCTCTACACATTTAGTTCGTATTTAGAATTTTCATTTTTTCAAGAACCTTTTGAACCGGCCGATCAATACAAATGAAACCAGTCAAAATGTGCCTAAATTGTCAAATTCATAATTTTTGCTATGTATTTGGTGGTTAATTACATGTAAAGTCTACAAAAAACAACAAACCTCATCATCAAAATTTATCTCTAGTTTGGCTAATTAATTTGCGTTTTTATTTTGTTAGTGGCGGAATCAGCTTCTTGCAAGATTTAATTATCTATACTCCTAATCAGTGATCAACCTTATTTGTGGTTTGAATTTTTATGATATTAGGCCGATATCCGCGTATACACGCGGGTTTTTATATACAAATGTTTTTATTTTTTTTACTTTATTGTCATATACAGTATAACAACTTATTTGATTTTTGTTTGAGGTATATTTTTAGAGATTAAGGAAATGATCTTTATTTTTACTTTGTTTTTCTCCAATTTTCTCTTTGAGATATTTGTTTGAGCAAAAACTATTACATTTTCCTTTGAATCTATCATGCATAATTATGAACCTATGACACTATGTATATTGGTTTTGTAAAAAATATTTTCAATATGTTCTCGCATATTTTCTCATTTGGTCTTGTAGCTCGTAAGTGAAAAGCGCACGCTTTTTTATAATCTGATTCCGTGTGATTTTGCATGAAAACTTTGAAAAATGACGAAGCTGAAAGGATTATACGTTCAAAATTTGGAGATTTCAAACGTTCAAGATTAGAAGATCTCAAACGTAATTTGATCATTCAGCTTCCATTGAAATATTTAGAGAGTGAGTTAAAAAGTAAAGTAAAAATTAATTTTTTAATTTAATTTGAGTGCCACGTGTCAATCAATTGGAGAGAGTTCCTTCCCCTTTCATATATGTTAATTATAAATGCCTACGCATGTTTATTTGCGATTTTGTGATAAACCTATGGAATCAGAAATTATTGCATACTGGCCAACACATAAGTTTGAGTGGAGTTTTCACCTCACTTTATTGCGTTGCTGATAGTTGCCCCACCACCACTAGTGCTCGTCTAGATATACATGAACGGTCGAACCAAAACTGAAAAAGATAATCATCAACCTTTTACATAAAAAATATATATAAAAAACAAATACGTACAAAATAATAAGGAATGAGCTGACGAATGCTGTTATACAGCAATTTCAATATATTTCTTCATATAGAAGTCACCATATATTCTAACAAATAATTAAATATTAACCGAGGAATGAATTCAAACACGTTAGAGAATTTATCAAGAGATCGTTGATGCATGTCTCTCGCATGCTCGTTAGGTTTCATACACAACCCATATAAATAAATATAATCCAATCATAAAACTCTCAGTTGTATTATAAGTAG